ATCCAGGCCATGAAGAGAATTCTAGAGTTTACATCGGTCTCTTTAATTTAAAAAAACCCTATACACGGTCTTGTAGGACACTGGCAATGACTGGACAGTGAACACATACTAGTTCATGGGGCACGGGCACAGACCCCGTTCTGTTTACATCAGTGATTTAAGGGCTTTCTGGGGCCATCTTCATCCCCCTCAATCTAAAGCAGTGGCATTTGGACCATGTTATTCGAAACCATGACTGTGGGTTTTGCAATGGTTCGTTTTTAGGCGTCTCTTCTGAGGCCACAGTGGCTGAAGCAAGAGGTTCGGTCCTTAAAAAAGCTTCCAGCAGAGAAGAATTCCCTGACCAAAAGGCTGTTGGTTTTCCGGAAAGCAAGCCTTGAGGGAGAGGTCTGAGGAGACATTTTTATTCTTAAGACAGCATGTTTGTAAAGAATGCCTTTATATATGTTGAAAAGTGTAAATACTACAATTAAAGTGTCTCTGCAAAAATGACTTCACACCCTACCAGAATCCGGTCCCTTTCTGCCCGAGACCCCCACGCTGTCCCCAGGCTGCTCAGGCTGAGTTGCACGTGCAGCTTGCGTCTCAAATGCTCTCGTGTTTCAGGAACTGAGGAAGTGCTCTTCTTTTGGCTGATGGTGACCACAGAACTCCTGAATTCCTGGAACATGAGACAACACAGCCACAGTGGTGTGCCCGTTTCTCAGGCAGCCCTGCCTCTGTTGGCGAGAGCCGAATCGCCTCATGGCTGAACTCAAATGGTCCTGTTTCTGCCAATGCCCTGACTCTTCGAAAGTGCACAGCTGGAGAGCTTACATCAGCCCATTCCACAGATCCAGAAGCCCAGGAATGCTGCTATCTGCCCTGGGCACCATTTTCCTGGGCAAAAGGAACTTGGCACAGACCAAAAGCCTATAGCTTTAATGACTGCCCCCATCCCAGCTGCCTTAAAATCCAGGCCCCAGGGGGCCAATGACCAGCACATTCAGGCTTGCACATGGTGTTCCCTCCATCCCCCCAACCACTTTCTCAAAGATGCCTGGCTTCCTGGGCTGAGGGGTTATCCCAGCCCCCACGAGCATGACTCTCCACCCGAGGCGAATGGCAGTGACCCCGATGACCCACAAAGGGCTCTAAGGGGGATCTTCACACCCAGCCAGGCAGCACTCTGAATTCACGGGACTCACGCACACACGTACTTTGAATGATACTTCTGTAGGCCAAAGTGGCTGGAGAATCCGGTGCGTCCATCAAAAAAGACTGTCCTTTGTCGCAACTCTTACCTTAGAGAAATGAAAAAAAAAAAAAAATCCACAAAAAAAACGGGCAAGGTGAACTAGGGGCTCTTTTGGACCGGTGACATTAAGAACTTGAGCGTCCCCCCTCACTTGTAGTGAAAAGCAAAGCGGAGGACACACACCAGATAAATGGGAATATAAATACACCCGTGCAAGGAGACCGCCTGGGCAGAGCCCCCGTCCGCCTGCTCCGCACTCCTGCAGAAGCAGGTCCATGGTTCTGCTCCTCCCAGCTGCTCCCCAACCTCAGGTGGGCCCTGGTAAGGGCTGCTGCCCCCTGGGACAGGGAAACCGATGGACGGAAGGAGCCAGCAGGAGGGGCTGGCAGAGGTGGAGCCCAAACGAGCCCAAGCTACCCTGGGAATGTGCTGGACTAGGGCTGGGAAGTCCCAGGTCCCAGAACAGTCACCTAATGGGCAGTGTGTACCGATTTTCACAGCCCTGGCTGGGCCCCCTTTGCTTTGTGTTCCAAGAACAGGCATTACGGTCTGAAGAGCTTGTTTTTGAGGCTTTCTGGAGCTCCTCTGGGGTCGTCCCCACAACTCCCCTCCAGTTACCACCCGCTCCTACAGATGAGGCCATCAGGGTGTGGCGCCTCCAGCTGGCGGTGCAAGAGCAGGGCTCTGAGGCAGGGGCTGTGGGCCGGGGCGGGGCTGAGAACCACAGTGCCAGAGAGGCGGCACCTCCTCTTGCCATGGAGTTCCCAGCGCGGCCTGGAGTGTGTGCCTTCACACCTTCCTGTCTGTTCCCAGGAATCTGCCTTTGCTCCCACTGGACAAAAAGAGCTTGGGGGGGGCGGGGTGTCACAGTGACCTCACAGCTTTGTCCTCCTTCCCGGCAGAGGACAGCGCTAACCACCCTGCTCAAATGCTTGCTGGCCTCGGGGTTCCAGCTACAAGTGAGGCTCGAGGCCCCGTAACTTGTCACACAGGCCTGCCCACTAGAAGGCACTTCATTCTCTGAGCTTGGGACTGCGCAGCAGCTGTATTCGGGACCCTCTGCTTTGCCAGCATCTACTGTAAAGTGCTCAGAACGTGGCTTCGTGAAAAACGGCCCGAAAAAGAAAAGCCTGGCTGAAGCTGGAGCCAGGCAGAAAGGCACACACCTCCCCCTTCCTCTCTCCTTCCATTCTCTGCCAGGCATCGCCCTCACCTCTTGCCCACCAGTCCTGCCCTAGGGACCTGGACGCAGGCAGTGGCACAGGTGGAGGCTGACGGCAGCGAGGGTGCCAGGAGGCCACGGCCCACCCGCTCACTCGCATGCACCCCTGCCGTCTACCTGCCCTGAGGGCCTCTGAGCAGGAGACGCTTGCTCCCGCACCTGCAGGGTGCGGGGAAACTCAGCACCACGTCTGGTCAGCGCCAACAGAGTCACCTTCCTGGGTGGCTGTACCCCTGCTGAGAAGCAGCTGGAGTTTTCCGGGTCGCATGGGGGAAAGCACAGAGCAGGGTGGGGTTTCGGAGTGGGGGGTCTCGGGACCCGCTCCTGGGTGCCAGGGTTCTCCGAGCAGGCACTCGGTACCCGCGCGGCCCCTCAAGACTGTGCCCTCCACACCATGCTCTCGGCCCCTCCTCTCTACATGCCCCAGTCTCACCTGGAAGGGCACCTCCCACGACATTCCTGAACGTGCTGACAAACCCAAGGCCTCCCCTGCCTTGAGACCCAGCATGCGAGGGGGAACCTGGCCCTCCTCCTAACACTGCCTCCCGTGTTCACTGCTTCTCAGCCATGTCCCCATCTGCTAGATGGCTCGGACATCTGCCACCTTTCTCCCCACTCATCAAATCCTGTCACCTTCCCGCACATGTGTGTCCCTCTTCCACCACCCCCTGTGCCCTAGGCTTACTCCCTGCGCTCCCCTGCAGGGCCACCTGAAGGCCTCCCTCTCAGTACTCACCCTCATGCCCTTAAGTCTCCGTTTCTCATACCCTAACCCCTGAAGGCCCAGCTCCCAGGCCTGGGTGCACAGCCGCCCGTACCTGGGCCCGAGCCTGCCTTACAGCCTTCCCCCCAGGCTTCCCTCAGGCCCAGGCCCCTCTGCTGACGCTACGCCCCACCACCGTGCGCATCACAGGCACAGCAAACTTAAGCTAAGTCCGACTCTACCTCAGGGAAACAAAAACTTGGAGGCAGGTGTCACTTAAAGGTGACCCAACCATGCTACTTGGCAAGCTGATACTGGAAAGTGAATACCGGATGGGGATGGGGTCCACCACCACCCCCTTCAGTCTTGCTGCTGCTCATGGAGTGTCTGGAAGGGACCCAGGGGACTCTGGTACTAAAAGGGGAACATTTTTCATGCCATGGGGCCCCTACAGGCAGGCCAATGCCCTCGTCTAGTGCTGAGAGAGACAGGGCTGTCTGGACTTCCCGGGAGGCAGGATGTCCTCCTAAGGGGTGTTCGAGGCTAATTCTGTTCATGACTTTCACCTCAGAACCTAATTCCTGTCTGAGCACGTCCCTGACCAGTCTTCACCCCCACCTTCCAGGCCCCACCCCGCCACCCTCCTCACACGGAGGTCTGCTCACTCCCATGGCGACATGCCCTCGCAGTTGATGGTTTCTCTTGGCTGGAGGGGAGCTCCGGAGTGGGGGCTCTTCGTCTGCTTCCCCCCCCCACCCCCCCCGCCCCCGTCCAGAGTCATGCCCGTGGCGGGTGAGCAGGGTGTGAAGGCCCCATCTGGCAACGGACGGTCGGGACGGCGTTGAGACTCACCCACCTATGTGTGGATCCAGAGGCACTTTTCCGAGGAGCGGGATCTTCAGATCCTGGCACATGACCTCTGCACCCCCTGTTGTTGGTGGGAATATCTGAGATTCTTTCTGAGAAGCAAGTTAAAAGGGAGAATTAGGATTTTGTTTCAGATTCATTAAAAATGGACCACATTTTTAAGCAACTTAAAAAATGGCTGTCGAAATGTGAAACATTAACCACTAGACGAATTTTCATTAACTCAGCAACAGACATTTTTGTGACTGCACTTCCCAAAACGACAGAGAAAAAGCAGCAATAGTGTCACCGAGACCCCTTTCCAGGCTTTCGTCCTCCACAGAAGGGACCGCTTAGCTGAGCCATGGGCGGCTGCGTTCCCACCTTGCACTTCGGGCAGATGAAGACACTCATGTTCTCCACCACTCCGATGATGGGCAGCTTCACCTTGTGGCAGAAGTTGATCTCTTTCCGGACATCCTGGAGGGACACCTCCTATCAAGGTTCAAAAGACCATTTGTTTCAAAGTCAAAGTGGAAGAAAGAATGTCTGCGTGGTTGCAGGGATGGCTGGTGCGATGCAGTGGGTTCACCAGCATAAAGCCTTAGAGACTTACCAAGTTCTCTCTCTAGTGCCAACCATGTGCTGAGACCTGTTCTAGGGGCTACTTCCCCCCACATCCTAAAAGGATAAACCTGAATGGCCAAATGGCAAACTTACAATGAATACACAGAAAAATGACTTTTACAACATCCCCATGTTCTATTTTCTCATCAATATACACCAAGCCAAACTGTGCCGTATGTTCAAGATCAGCGGGACAGCAAAGTATGGCCTGTGGGTCCCGTCCGGATGTTTTTGTGTTAAGACTTATTCATGGGGGCGGGGAGAGAAAGCGGGGGGGGGGGTGGGTGAGGGGGAGATTCTCAGGCAGATTCACACCCAGCACGGAGCCTTATGCAGGGCTTGATCTCCTGACTGGAGATCGTGACCTGAACGGAAACCTAGAGTTGGACGCTTAACTGACTGAGCCACACAGGCGACCTCATCTGTTTTTCTAAAGAAACTTCTGGACACAGCCCCGCCCGGCCCTCTGTATATTATCACTGGCTGCTTTTGTCCTACAGTGGTACAAGTGTTTGCGACAGAGGCCGTGTGGTTCACAAAACCTAAAATACTATCTGGCCCGTTATACAAAAAGTTCGCTAATCTCTGATCTAGACTATTATGAATGAAAACAACTTGATGGACAAGAAAATAAGGAATGTCGCCACATTTAGATCAAATTCACTTGTGAACTCCAAAAGCGCCTTCGACAGTAAGTAGCGTATCATCCTGGCTTGGTACCCTCTCTACTTCTCCCCGGGTCATGGGATCACAGACACACAATTCCTAGCCTGCTGTTGTCAAGTACGGGCACACCCCACACTTGTGTGCTCCCCTAGCCTCGGTGGCCCTGACACTCCTGGGCTCCCAAAGGTTCAAGGCTTCGAGTCGCCTCTTCCTCCTGACACACACATTTGGTTCTCGGTCCCTTTGAGACTGAGGTACAGACAAAAAGGCATTTAGCTAGAAAATAAGCTGGTGTCAACCGGTATTAGTCTCTGCATCTCACTGCACCTCTGCGGTTCTCTCCTTAATGGTCCTTTAAGTAAAGCCCCTGCTTTGTCAAAAAGGACCCCCAAAAGAGAGCCGCCTGCCTCTGCCAATGGCTGGGAAGGGCTCTGAGAAGGTGGGTGACCGTGTTTAAGTCACACTCTCCAGAGACGTTCCACACGAAGAATACCAAATGCAGGACATCCTCCCACGGCTTCCTGGAGAAAGGCCAGTATCTGCTCAGTCTGTTTCCCTCTTGAACCAAAAGGGGACACCATGCTCGCTTTCACAGTAAAATGTGGCTTTGGAGAGGCCACCTTTGTGCCAACTGGATTTTTGTTGTCTCTTAATAGATGACTTTAGAGTGGTTTTATGTTCACAGCAAAACTGAACAGAAAGAGTTCCTGTATGCCCCTTGCCCCCCTACCCATAAACCTCCCCACTATCAACATCCCACATCACAGTGCTCCGTTCCAAATAGATTCTTTTCCTTTTAGGTAATTTGTTCGCGACCTGCCCCTGACAGTACTGCTGGTTTAGAGCGGGGCCCCCTCAGTAAAAATTCAAAAACATTGTTAAGAATAAGTCCATCTTCACTACCACCCCCTGGGCCAGGTGCTCCCCACTCTCGCCACTTAAGTAGTGTCCTGACCTTCCATGTGCCCCCAAGACCCTCTCCACAGGGCACCAGAGTGATGTCACACACACACCTCGTCATAGCACTCCCCAACCCGGGCACCTTCACGTGGCGCACGGTGCCTCTCACACGTTGCTGGAGCCCCGTGTGTGCCTCGTGTCCGGCACCCACCTTCCTCCATGAGCCACACAGGCCGTGAGGGAGAACTGGCCTGTTGCTTCCCTGGTGCCTGGCACGGGGCCCACGCAGAGCTGGTACTCTGCAAAGGTTTGGTGAAACACGAGGGGTGGTATGGACTGATTCACGGACAGACTAAAGCCTCCTTTGTTGTGCTTTCTTAGGAGTGGAGAAGAATATCGTGGCAAAAGGTACAACTGAAAAGAGTAATCTACTGCTTTCTTTTCAACGATAATAAAGCCCGTGGCAGACCGGACTGCGTTTGCTCACTGGTGGATTCGCTCCAGAGGACACTCCTGTGCTCTCCTCAGTTTGGGTTCAGCACAGCCTCTAGGTGACTGGTACAGGAGCTGGGCATTGCTGAAGGAGGAGCAAGGACTGCAGCGGCTTATCCAGAAATTGGTCTATACCCCAGGCCAGCTTGCTGGGAAACTGGACGAGGTGCACGGAAGCAGCACGCAGGTTGCGTGAGCACAGTAAGGGTGACGTGACCACAAGGGACAAGCCAGATTGGAATGGCACCAGGGGTCTTGCTGGCTTTGTGAAGGACATATGGAAGGCAATTATGAGCCACTCCTACTTTCACCTGTGGACATAAATAACAGTGGAATGCTTACCTGTGAACAGCAAACGCCTGGACCAAACATAAAGCTTTTAACAAAGTTTCTGGGGATCCACACTGAGGGCTGTTGGAGCACATGTTCCAGGAGCTGCTTCGAGAAACGGGCCTCAAGGCTGGACGCGGCCAAGTTTGGAGCCAGCTCCCCTGGGGCGCTTGCTCACCTGAGGGGTGGTGATTATCACAGCCCCATCGATGTGTGCCGCCGACAGGTACTGGACGGCCGACAGGTGTTCATCCGACGTGCCAGGCGGGGTATCCACGATGAGGTAGTCCACCTCTCCCCAGTCCACGTCACGAAGGAACTGCTTGATCATGCCTGGAGAGAACGCACACAGGTAAGCCGCTGAGACCTTTTCTCTCTTCCTTATCTACAATGCTACAGAGGCACTTTGTGATCTTCACGTACACCTGCCCTGTGGTCTAAATCAGGGGTGTCACGATGGGGGTGTGGGTGCCACTGACATCTAGTGGCTAGTGGCTAGAGGCCAGGGGTGCGGCCAACATCCTGCAATGTGGAGCGCAGTCCACCCCACCCCTAACAAAGAATTATTTGGCCCCAAAAGGCAGTAGTGCAAAGGCTGAGGAACCCTGCCCTATAAAGGACACTTCTGCACGGTTACCTGAAGCCTCCATGCCCAACCAACCTGCTAGGATTTCACCTCACACACTTCCTGGACATAAATAAGCTATTATAAAACCACAGTAAAAACAATTTCAGAGTTACCTAAGTTTCAAATACAGAAACAATCGCAGTAGACATAAAACAATTTCTATCAGCTCTCTATTTTTATTAGCTCTCTTCAAACAGCCAAGACAGAGGCAACCAGATGCTTAACCATGATCCTCTGCAAAGCCCAGCAGAGGACTACTGCCATCCTGATGGGACAGGCTGAAAAGGAAACCTAAAGCAGTTCTGCTCTTGGAAGATCGTGCTCACAGAGAAAAAGCAGAGTGGCAAACCATTTTTCTTTGGTCCCCTCCAGATAACGGCGTCGTCAGGACTGCTGAGCAGGAAACCCACTGACATCACCCCCAGATTGTCTTCCACGAACTGGAGGATGAAGCCAAGAACACTTAAAACCACAGCACATAGCACTTCCTTGTCGTTTATCGGAGCTCAGACTGACAAAACCATTTTGAGAACAAAGTGACCGTGTGATCTCTGGGCCTATTCATTCTTTGAATCCACAAATCATTTCGGGGGAAGAAGGGTTACTGTACTGGGGGACCGGAACGAGGTACCCCGGGGCCATATGGTGCAGTGCGGGAACCAGGGCAGCAGTCCCTCATGTGGCTGGCAAACTGTGGCCCCTTGGGCCAAACCCCAGGTTTTCTATAAAGTTTTACTGGAATACAGCCCCGGTCATTCATTTACATACTACGACTTTCACGCTATAATGGTGGATAGTGTATGGCCCATACACTGAAAATACGTACTATCTGACCCTTTACAGAAACGGTCTGCCAATCCCTGACCTTACCTGTGTTCCCTGAGCCTAGAAGAATGCCCCCAACAATACTCGTTGATGGATCAACAGTTGGACTGAGGAAGGTGCTGCCAGCCCAAACCATATCCGTTCTCAACACATGACCCAGGGCACACTGCCCTGCAAATAAGGCAAAGGTGTGAAAACTCACCACCGGAGACCAGCCCGAGCCACTCTGGTGAACCTGTGACAACACGAACACCGACATTCACTGGTTAGAAATGAGGCACCGTGGGCATACTTCTCACCCACAAAGGTTTACAGATTAGGAAGACAGTTTTAGAAAATACAATTCATTGTCTTAAATGCCACCCATTCAATTCTTACTAGAGAGTGAGCAGCTAGGGGCGAGGCAGTGGGTAAAAGAAGCTGTATTTCCTACCCCCTCCCGACCCCCAGGTTGTGTTATTTTGAAACTGCTTAGATCCAGACAGGGAACCAAGCTTGGCTGAGGTCACATATAATTTGGGGTGTAAGGTAGGTTTTAAGTGGGACAGGACCTGGGGGGTGGGGGCGTTGCTGAGGAAATGCAGGCCACCTCTGCAACTCCAGAAGTAAAAGGGGTTTGCTTCACTCAACAGGTGGCCCAGAACCTGCCCCGTCCGCGGCCTGAGTGTCCGTGCTGGTCTGCTGCACCCCCCAGGGGGAGGGGGCCAATAGGAAGCTCATGGGGCCACCTCGAGATTCAGACTCTCTCCTTCCAGCAGGTGTTCAGTAATAACCAGCATTCCACTCTGCACCGCCTTCTCATCGTGAGACGAGAACTGACTCAACTTCCAACTACACATCAGTCTTAGCAAGTGGGCTTTAGAGCAACCTAGTGGCTGAAACAAAAAGCCCGTTTTCTTGCAGTCTTACTTTTTTAAACAGCTCTGTGGAGACCTGATTCATATACCACACCAGTCTCCTGTTCAAAGCGTACACATCACTGGCTTCTGGGATATTCTTAGAGCTGGGCACCCAGCAGTTTGAGAACATTTTCATCACTCCAAGAAGCCACTCTGCGCCCCGTGACGGTCATGCCCAATCCTTCCACATCCTCCCGCCCCAGATGACCCCCATCTCCTATCTCCACAGATGTGTCTGTTCTGGACACTTCCCAGAAATGCAACCCTAGAATATGTTGTCTTGGGTGACTGGCTTTAAGGTCTTTCCCATTTTTAGGTACTTTTTAGATTCCAATACAGGTGACGTGCAATGCCGCATCCATTTCAGAAGTTCTACAGCGACTCAACAATTCCAAGCCTGAGTCTGTGCTCATCGCCACAGCTTTATGCTTAACCGTCTGCACCTAGTTCACCCAGCTCTTAATGTAACCACTACCCTTCGTTCCCAGTTAAACTCATTCTCCATGGTAGCAGGCTTGAAAGAGGGATAAAGGAAATGACTCGTGGTGTAGAAGAAGAAAACAGCACAACTCCTGTTCTCTCGCCACGTAAAAATGTCGGTGTTTATAGGACGCTCACGCAAGGGTGCAGTCAGGGCTAGCTGGACAGTGCTTACAGGTAAGCAGGTGCTCGGCCACGCTGCGGGCGCCTGCTATACCTCTCGTTCCCGGTGGGTGCGTGCGCAGACGGGCGCCCTGCAGCTCTGCCTCCACCCTGGACGGCGTGGCACCCTTCGCAGCCCCCTCGGCGCCTATCCCAAGCCCTGAGCAGCGTCCACAGGCTGGCCTGCGTGCTTCTGGCTACTGTCCAGCCACCCTCCCTTTGTCCCTCCGCCACTAGTCATTGTTTGGAGTACACGCCGGCTTTGGCGCTCCTGCACTTGCTCCCGTGGCCCAGAAGGCTCTTCACCCGCTCTCCACAGCACGGTGCCCTTGACCACACCCTGGCTCGCCCTGTCCCCTTACCCAGCTTTCACTTTCTACTATCAGCTGCCGCCTCCCACCAGGGCCGGGGGCTTGATCTGCCTCCTGCACCACTGTACCCCAGCACCCAGCAGGGCTCGGCAATGACGTAATGAACGAACCCATGTGACACCCTGGGAACATCCTAGCCCCCCAGCCTTGTTTCAGTGCACTGCCTTTGAGGGGGACCCTTTCTGGGACAGTTTCTTGCCACCCGGGGGGGGGGAGGGGGACCGGCACCTGCACGGACTGCTGTGGTGCTGTGGCCCTGTCCCCACCCGTCACTCTGCCACCTCACAGTCTCAGTTCCCCAGGGGTGACGACAAGGGCAAAAACATTCCGTTTCCAGGGTACAGACCCCTAGCAAGGACTGGTCTAGCTTTCCGAGGCAGTGCGAAGTTTCTGTGTCCTACTTCTGCATTTTACTTGCTGTTTCCCTTCCCCTCTAAGAAGGCACTGAAACTGATGCTTGTCAAATGATGTGGGTGCACTTTATATCCAGTCCCAACCCCCCAAGCTCACGGTGGTCGTTGAGGCAGACAGACGGACTGGTGAACGTTCACCTGGTTTCAGCACGGCTGCGCAAAAACGCATGGCTCTGCTGACCCCTTTGTGTGGGAGTAGTATCTGGTGCTAGGGTGTGCCGTGAGAATACTTTCCCGCGGTTCCTACTGTCATTATTACCTGTTCTCCTTCCAGTCCCATTATCTTGGGAATTGATGGCCCACATATATCAATGTCCAGAAGAGCGACCTGGGAAACAAGAAGAGACCAGAACAGTGACTTGACTGAATGTACAATCTTTCAGATATGCACCACTCAGAGGGAAACAGGGTTCTTGAGGAAACAAGGAAGGGGAGAAGATGGAAGAAATGGAGTCAAGCAAGGACCGAGAGGAATCTCGGGGGAGTTGCAACATTTATCTTCCAGGCCATGGCCACACAGTCTCAGACTCCTAAAGAGCTTGGCAGAGCACAGCAACACCACGGCTTTCCACACTCATCCCCTATGTCTGGCCTAACTCTGGGGTGATCTTCCAGACCCGGCGTCAGGTCCCTTAAAGATTCAGGTCCAGCCACCATTCACTCGGCCTTTACCACTTGCCTGAGGGGTGGGTATCATCATCCTGGCTTTATAGAAGAGGAAATGGAGGTTGGAGAGGCCCAAGGACTCGTTCAGGAAGTAAGCAGCAGAGCCAGGACATAATCTGAAGTCTGGTGACTCCAACACCAGGGCTCTTTCCACTACCCCATGGGGCCTGCAGAGGAGGGCCAGAGTGGAACCTCCTACTGGGCTCTGACCGAGCCCCACTGTGCTGTGATCCTGAAGGTTAATGACGGAAGGTTCCTGAAAGAAGTCTAGAAAAGCTCTTTGCTAGTGATCTGTGCAATCTCCAATCACTCCTTCCACCCCAAACATCCTGCTTTCTCGGTGTGATAAATGAGGTCTGAGACAGTCTTCAGGAACCCTCTGAAGAGAAGAGTTAATACTCATCTTGAAAGCTCAAGTATCAAGCATCCAAAGTGCAGCACGTCTGGGTAACTTTTTAACTTGCCCTAAATTGGTTTCTTGCTTCTCTCTTCACTGCTCCCTGCAAACCCCTACCTCTTGCTTCCTCACACCCGTGATCAGGAAAACTTTTCATCCTCAGATCAGCCGCTTGCCTCCCCCGCCCTCTGCTGGACCACCTGAAGAATGCAACAGAAGGATACTCAGGCTGACAACCTGACTTCCTTCGCCTTCTTGACACACAAGGCTGGTGTGTGTTAATGATCCACAGACATTTTACCTCAGAGCCTCACGACTCGGAAAACTACACCATTATTATAACCCTAACAGACTGAACAGTGCTCTCAGTTTCTAGCCACTCCGTCTCCGTGCCCTTTCTGTCGGGGACAATTTGTTTCTAGGAACTATGCTCAACCAAGGGGGTGAATCTTGAGGGAACCGATGCAGGAAACAAATCACGGGCACTCACTCCCGTGGTGGTACCCAAAAAGGCTATGACAAGTCCCTGTTATGCAGACCTCCGAGGGGCCCTGTGTGCTGTCCCTTTCAGGCTTCCTGTTGAACCTGTCACTACCTTAATATCCATCCAACTGGATTCCCTTTCTGCTCAGACCAGAGAACCCAAGCAGAGAGAAATGTGCCTGAGTAAATCTTACCAGGGCCTCTGTGGAAGGTGCAAGGAACCTGACAAACAGGCTTTGCCACACCTCTCTCCCAGCCAGGGAGTCGTGGAAAAGGGTGTTGTCAGGATCCAAAACTTTCCCATACTCAACACCCCCAAACTTCCCCTTAAGAAGTAGTCCTGGGAGGTGAGCTCTAGTCCTGACTCTTGGCACTCCAAGGCTGGGTCACCTCATACAAACTGCTTCTGTCGGATCTTCTGTCAAACAAGTGTTCGGGAGATCATCAGGCCCCTTCCGGCTCCAAGGTTTATCCGCCCCAGAGATGGGCCTCAGAAACTTCAGTCCGGAAGCCCCTAGAGCAGACCTGTTAGTGCTATAGCTCGCCTTTCAGATCACAAGGCAAGACGACCCACGGGTCACTTGTGGGAGCAGGTGACCCTGCCGTGGAAAAACAGCATGTGAGTCTGTGGTGTCTCCCAGCTCAGGTGTAACTATCAAGGCTCCTGCCCCCTTTACCACAACTCACACACCCCCAGCCTGCCCGTCATTAATCAGGGGGGTGGTTCCCAATTCTGCTCCCTCTTGGCTCACGCCCTTTGCTAACGAGCTGCTGGACACCTGCCTGCCTTGAGCATTAACACAGAACAGCCCTGCTCAGAGTTAGGGATGAGCTTCCATCAGACAGCAGACAGAAAAGGGACCAGGCATTTCCCTCAATTTAGGCAAGGAAGGAGTGTGTGCTACTTGAGATCAATCAACCAGGCAGACTCAAGAGTCTACTGTCTGTCAATATCCTGCACCCTTTGGACACAGGGGCACTTTCAGTCATGGGTAGGATCTGTGAGGAAATACTTTCCTAAGTGCGGACTTCTTTTTTTTGTAAGCCATCATGTGTTCTTCAGTACACATGAAATAATACAGGGATGTTCAGAGTCCTCAGTGAGGAAAGTAACTGTACAATAGTCATAGTTCTTCATTTTAAATCTGTTTTCATAAATATTTAAACTATTTCCTAGGTTCTTATCACATACGAACTTCTCTAGCCGTATTTCCACACTGAATGGCACGTTTTCCTTTAGTTGCGAAGTCCAGGCAACTACTTCACAATAGAATTATATTGCACCATCATACATAAATAGCTCCCTCTTCCCAGTGGTTACTTGCATCTGGCCTGGTTAGAGCCCATCTTCAGTGAGCTGTTTAAGCAACAAAACAGAGAAACACAGGGGAAGGGAGGGAAATAAGAGAAGATGAAATCAGAAAGGGAGGCTCTTAACTCTAGGAAACAAACCGAAGGTTGCTGGAGGGACGGTGGCTGGGGGCATGTTACTGGGCGATGGGCATTAAGGAGGCCATTTCATGTAATGAGCACTGGTGCTGTACGCAACTGATGAATCACTAAATTCTACCCTGAAACTAGTAAAATACTAGGATTTTATATTTAAAAAAAAATTCACGTGCACACATACACAAAATAAAATGTGCCCGACAGCTTCCAAAAGCAAAGAGCATTCTGGATGATATGAATACTCTCTCAGAGAAACAATCAGTTTTCGGCCAACCAACTGGCCAATGCACATTTGAACCTCAAAGGGCAGGAGACTGTTGATTAACCGAAGGAAAAATAAACAAGTGGACTCTGAACCTGCTCAGCACTGTACTCGGTGGGGGTGGGCTACAAACCCGGCACTACAGCAGAAATAATCACCACCTCTCCCCCACGTTCCAGTAAGTGGATAACGTACCAATGACTGCTATCACAGCCCTTTATTGAGCACTTACTACACATCAGACACCATGCTAAGCATTTTACATTTACGTGCATTACCTCACTTGCTCCTGACTCTCGTCTTACAGGGCAAACTGAGGCAGAGAGCCTGGTAACCTGCCCAAGGTCACAGAAGTGGCGTGGGTGAACTGGGATGTGAACCTGGGCAGTCTCTCTCCAAAGCCTGTATTCCCGGCCACCAGGCTAGACTGTACCCACCACCATGCCCCAAATGCTCAACCGGAGCTCCGACCACCCCTCTTCTCCGAAGGGGTGAGGCCCTGCTTCTTCCACTGTCCCAAGTACGCCCGCATTTGTCCCCTCGCACTTGTTCCACCCACTGCCCTGATCGGGGTCCTCGTGGCTGCTCACGGAGACACGAACACCATCTCCCGACTGGCTTCCTGTCCCCTCTAATGATACCCAATCACACACTCAGCTGTCATTGCGATGTTCCTAAAGCCATGCTCAAACCCTGCCTCTATGCATGCCAAATGTCTTACCAGGTCACTCAAAGCCTCCCTGGTCTGGCTCTGCCTCTTCCTTGGTCCCCTTCACTGGAGGAGCGCCACCAGACTGCCTGCCATACACACATTCCATCCGTCCCCACCACAGTCCAGAGGCCGCCTTCCCTAAGCCCAGGTGTCCCTCACAAGCTTCTCACCCTTGTCCCAAATCCCTAGAGCACATCTTCGATGGTGGATACCAGATTTCAGAGAAGCCCACCTCAGCCACTGGCAGGCCGGCAGGAACAGCTCCAGCATTCTAAAATGATCAGAACAGAAATGAGGAATAAGGGAGAATTCAGAGCCTGGGTGAGAGAGAGGAAAGCCAAGCATTACGGATCACCAAGTTCAGCCTCTTCACTCTCAAGAAGGCTGGGGCTTGGCCCAGGTCTGTCTTCCTTCACAGATGCACTTCCGCAGCCAGCACCAGTGTTTCTGGTGCTACAGACCAAACCAGGGGCCAGTAAACTACAACCTGGGGCCAAACCCAGCCTGCTACCTATTTTTGTACAGCCCATGAGGTAAGAATAGTTATTACATTTTTAGAAGGCTGAGGGGGGGAATCAAAAAAAGTCTATTTCACGATGTAAAAATTCTATGAAATTCAAATATCAGTGACAATAAAATTGTTAGAGAGGGCACATTCTGCGTGGAGCACCGGGTGTTATGCACAAACAATGAATCATGGAACACTACAACAAAAACTAATGACGTAATGTATGGTGATTAACATAACAATAAAAAATTTAAAAAAATTGTTAGAACACAGCCAAGTTTGTTTGTTTACAGACTGTCTATGGCTGCTCTCCTGTTTGAGGGCACGACTAAACAGTTGCCAAAGAAACTGTAGGGCCAGCAAAACCTAAAATATTCACCATCTGGCTCTTCACACACAAAGTCTGCCCAGCCCTGAAACAAACTCTAATTTCTTAATCCAGACATCTGAGAACTGTATTCCTGGAGTTCCTGGATACTGGCGAGGTGTCTCATCTCAGTGTCCTGAGCACATGTAAGAATGGTGGGCTAGATCCTCTGCGCACTGTAGCTGGCTTTTTTGTGGAGAAAAATCAAGCCTTACGTTAAGATCTTATGGTGCTATTTCACGCTTACGTGAAATGGTTTACCTACTACAGGTATACAACACTGAAATTTATCCAGCTTTTAGAGTTTCAAAATATAACGGGCAATATGCGACAGTTTTGAAATTTCAGTACTAGATTAAATGTACCTTTACAGCCCCATTTAGCACTTTTTTTTTAAACAGAAGTGAAGGGCCATTTATCAGTTAGAAAAGAAATCTGAACTGAGTATCAACCCTTGTATATAAAAATAACTCAGTATCAGAAACGCCTAAGAAAATTAATGCTCAGAAATAAGTCAGTGTATGAAGAAGGCATGACGACCATGGGAAGAAATGAAATGAGAAGAAACAGCATGAACACAACACAACTGTGTGCCTATGTTACACAGAACTCCTCTGCATGCCCTGAATGGCGTCCTGAGACACAAGAGGACAGTTAGTTGGCAATTCCCATCCAGAGAGCAGCAGGCTCTCTAACCCAGGCCACGCACAGCGCCAGCACACAAGTCCTCAGCCAGGTCTCTCGATTCAGGGGTCAACCCACAGGATAGCTGGATTCTAAGAGAATGCGTGCTGCTCTAGCAGTTCTGATGTGTAAGCATTTTTTCCATTGGAATTTTGAATAAAATTTCATTTTGGAAGAAAACAAAGACGGAATGTGTTCTGTGTTTTAAAAAAAATTAGAAACCGCAGTATTCATGGTTTTATCAGGTATCAAGTGGTAATCAAAGTGAATACTGGGATCACTTTTCTAAGGTCAATGCAAAATTATCATGAGTCCCATGAACAACCCAATGTATTTTTAAAATCACAGGTACTGTAAATTTCCATTCGAGTTTTGTGATAGAAAGTATTTTTTTCTTCCTCATCATACCATACTTTTCATTAAAGCCGAAATCCAGAGAGCAGTTGGATTTTTACTGGGCAATTGGAGTTTTCATGCTCACGTGTATACTTGGGCACCAGTGAGTGGCCCAGTTCAGGGGTTGGCAAATGTTTTCTTCCTCAAGAGTCAAACAGAAAATACACTTGACCTTTGAACAAGGCGGGGGTTAGGGGCAACCCCTGTACAGTGGAAAATCCATGTATTACTACTGACTCTGCCAAAATTTAACCAGTAATAGCCTGTTGACCAGAAGTCTTATAGTTAACAGTCGATTACCACATATTTGTGCATTGTTACCACTGTACTTTTATACTACACTAACCTAGAGAAAAAATATTAAGAGAAATTACAAGGAAAAGAAAATACATTTATAGCACTACAAGAAAACCCACATATGAGCGGAACCATGCAGTTCAAACCCATGTTGTTCAAAGGTCAACTCTATTTTAGGCTTTATGAGCAAAATCAAGGATACCATAAAACAATTTAAAAGCAAATGTTTATAGATGTAAAAATCATTCTTAGCTCACAGGCCATAAAAAGGCAAGAGAGGGGCTGAATTTGCCCATGGGCTATAGCTTGCAGGGCTCTGGCCTAGAAACAGGCAGAAAGGGGCTAAGAGAAAGAAGTCTGAACTTAACAAAATGATCAGCATGCCAAGAGAAATGTACACCTGCTGTTCATTTTCATAGCTAGAGAATCTAATGAAACACTTCATTTCACTGCATAGCTGCCATGCGTTTCCTCCTCCTCTCTGCAAGGATCTAGATTCCCAAGAGACCAATTCAACTTAGTCTAAGGAATCAGTTCTCCAGAAATCATCACACACCCTCATATAGGAGCCTCTCCCAGTTTTTCCTAAGGTCTCACCTGTGTGTTTTCATCCTCTGCTAGGCCGTGGGCAAGGTGGGCACTGAACGTGCTTTTTCCAACACCACCTTTCCCAGACAACACCAAGATTTTGTGTTTCACGGTCTTCATTTTTTCTTTGATTTCTTCTATGGCTGCAAAGAAAGCAAATCAGGTGACGAAGCCCCTGACTAAATTTCAAGTGTCACTTTTCCAATGGACTAGTAGGAGCTAAATCCTTAGGGCTCTCTCAAGGGACTGTGTGTGAAATACCACCTAGTCAATGACAGCAATAAGTACTACAAAGAAAATAAAGCTGTTATCCTCTTTGAGATTTTTTTGTTTATTGGTTTACTTGTCTGCCTCCTCTTCCTAGAACCTAAGCTCCATGAGGATAGAGACTGTCTGAAGTGTTCACTGCTATATTCTCAGCTCCAGAAGAGCTTCACACATAGTAATGGTTCCCAACCTGGGGGCAAAATCCGCCTGAGGACATTTTTGGTTGTCACAAGGAAGGGGTGCCACCGGTATGTAGTGGGTAGAGACCACAGGTGCTGCTAAAAGTCTAACAATGAGGGGTGCCTGGGTGGCCCAGTCGGTTAAGTGTTCGATTCTTGGTTTTGGCTCTGGACATGATCTCAGGGTCCTGAGACTGAGACCTTTGCTGGGCTTTGCGCTCCACCCAGCATGGAGTCTGCTGGAGACTGTCTCCCTGTCCCTCTGCCCCTCCCCCTGCTCGTGTTCTCTCGGTCAAATAAACCTTTAAAAAAATGTCTAAGAATGCTCAGGACAGCACCCCACCCCAAAGAATTATCCAGATCCAAATGTCAGTAGTGCCAAGGTTAAGAACCCCTGACAAATAGCAGGCATTTATGAGGACCAGTCACAGATAACTATCACAGATTATACATTTGCTATGCATTCAACATTTCACCTTTCTTCAATTCCTTAAAATACCACCATGAAGTAAATATTCTACCCGCCCCATATTTAAAAAGTAGGTTCCAAGGGGTGTCTGACTCTTGGTTTCTGCTCAGCTCAGATCATGATCTCAGGGTTCTAGAATCAAGCCCCAGGTCTGGCTCTGCACTCCATGGGGTGTCTGCTTGGGATTCTCTTCCTCTCTCCCCCTCTCCTGCTTGTGAGTGCACTCTCTCTCAAATAAATAAAAAATCTTAAGGAAAAAAAAAAAGTTGGTTCCAAGCCCAATGTGGGGCTTGAACTCATGACCCTGACATCAAGAGTCATATGCTCTGTGGACTGAGCCAGCCAGGGCCCCTCGCCCCATTTTGGATAAGGAAATGGAGGCTCAGAGACCAGAGAAGTCTCGCTCAAGGTCATACTCTTTGCAGGACCCAGGAATCAAACCCTACTCCCTCTTCGAACTCCTTCAGAATTCTCCCGGGCTCCTGCTTTTTAAGATCCTTTTGGTAAATCCCCAGTCCTTCCGACCCTCCGATTTGTCCTTGGTCATACTTATTGCTGCGATGATTTATTTGCTTGCTCACTTGTTTATGGTGGGTCTCCCCTATTAAACTGCAGCTGTATCCCCAGCAAAGAGCACTGTGCCCAAGGGAATACGTATTTCTGTTAAATGAATGGGAGAATCAATCCTTTTCAAAATCAAGACAGTTCTGTCCAAAGAATATTCCCGAGCAACCCCCAGTTCAAAGTCTATACCCTGTTTCCTAGGACGACGGCCCCCACCAGACCCGTCAGTCACTGTCACTCAAACCTCTGGCCCCACCCCTCTCCCGGCCCCGCCCTCCTGAGACCGCCTTGGACTCCACACCAGCCAATAGTCCTTCAGGCTCCGCCCCATCCCACTACTTCCCTCTACTCTTCCGGACTTTTCCACAGCCCGCCTCCTCTAGACCCACCCCTCCTAAGAGGCCTCCCGGTCCCACCTCTTCCCGGCTAGCGCCCTTCACTTCCGGCTCAGGCCTTGCCCCTTCCTCACCTGGGTCGGGAGCGGCGCCGGCTCCGGAGGCACAGAGCCGCTGGTTGGGGCAGCCCTGACATGAGGCCCCTCGGCCCGCCTGGGCGCTGCCGGTTCCGGGACAGCCTGCGCGGGCACAAGGTCACAGTTAAAGTGGCTCCTGTCCCTTCAGCCCCGCCACCCACGCCCCCTCCGCGCGCTCACCCTGAGGCACCTCCTCCATTCGGCTGCCTTCGGCGTCTCCGCGGTCACCGGAACCTGCCCTTACGTATTTCCGCCTCCAGGCGCCCAATCTGACTCTCCAGCCGCGCGAAGTAAGTCTCGGAAAGCGTGCTTTGCGCACGCGCGGACTTTGTGTCCGGTGCTTGGGGCTGGTCTATTTTTTTCTTCTGTTCCCTTCCAAACTGAGCTGCAGAGATCTTTCGTAAATTATTCAGCGCGTAGCTCCTAGGAACGAAGGCATTATCCTACATGACCTCAGGGCCCTTTCATACTCAAGAAATTTGATACTGATGCAAAATTATTAGCTTACACTTTATATTCAGAGGTACTCAATTGTCCCAAATAAGACCTCCTCCCACACACCCCCCCATTCAGGATCCAGTCAAAAGTCGCACCTTCCCTTTGTTCTCTTCAGTCTCTTTTAATTCAGAACAGTCCTCCTCTCCCGCCCCCTTGCCATTTTTTGTCTTTTAGGACGTGGATAAATTTGGATGTAGTCCAGGCCATTTGCCTTGTAGAATACCACCCCCCCCCCCCGTTATGATTAGATTCAGTTAAAAGGTTTCGGCAGAAGGCCCTTGAGTAATGTGCTCAACTGTGGTGTCACAGCGAGAGGCACTGAATGCCAGGGGTCCCGTGGTTGGTAACGTGAGGGCTTGGCCGCTTGGCTTGGGGAAGGGGGCGTCTGTCCCTCCTGCCTCTCCAGCAAACGGTACCCTTTTCCATTTGTAATGAAGAAAGATTGAGGTAATTCATTGAGATCGTGTGAATATCCTGTTCATTAACCTTGCACTCAGCGGTTTTAGCATCTTTCCTGCCTGAATCCGTGCTAGCAGTGTTCCCAATGTTCCCAAAATTGTGCCTTTGGGTGAGAAAACCGATGGTCAAAACGTGTGAACTCCTTTCCTCAGGTCACACAGCTCCTAGCGAGGGAGACAGTGATGAACCTGGGCCATGGGGCTCCCGAGCCTGCACTGTCATCCAAAACACATGGTGCCAAGCGGCTCTGTACGAGCTGCGGGTCTCACCAAACGGCCCTGATTCCTGTTGCCCTGGTGCCCAGCCTGGTTGGCACAGCGGATAACGAAGCTGGACATTAGTTTTATAAAGGCTATGACAGGAGACACGCGGGGTGATAGGGAAGACTGCCTTAAAGCTGACACCCAGATTGGGACAGGGTGGTAGCGGGGGTGACAAGTGGTATTTCAGACAGAACGAACCGCATGAACAAGCCCAGAGGCCAGAGAGGAAGTCACCTGTTAGGCAGCGACTGTTGTGATCTCCGGTTTGCAGGGAGGAAGACAGGGTCACCGGGAATGTCTTGCCCAAGGTCTCGGAGCCAGTAAGCAGCACGGAGGGGATGCCAACAAAGTCTGATGTAGGGCCTGGGCTCTTGACCACTAGGCCGTACAACGGGAGGCAGGTTGCAAATTATTCTTTCACTGAAGAACGTGAGGCTCAGAGAGGGTAAGTGGCTTGCCCAGGGTCTTGCAGCCAGAAGGCCCCACTGAACTCTCATGACCACAGGCTCTTTCTCCCCCTCAGCCACACAGCGGAGGCCCAGGGCCGGCCCACTTCCAATCTTCCTTACTGATGTCCCCTAAGACACTTCCGGCACGTTGCTCCCAGCTGTCTTCAGCAGCCCTGCGATCTCTGATTACCCAGGGGCCCTCCCACTCAGCCAGTCTCTCCGCTCCAAGGCAGGGAAGGTCTTCCATTCTTCACTCTCTCCCTCACTCCTCCCCACAAGGCTGCAAAAATGATCCCATCCCACACTAAAAAGTAAACTCAAATAAACCTCCTCTCCGCATTGCTCCAGGTCTTTCTCCCACTGTCCCCAGCCAAACTCCTGACTCACCGGGGATGGAATTTTCCGTCTGTGGGAGTGGGAGCCGAAGGGCAGGAATGAGGCTGCAGAGCAGATTTCCAGGCCCATGCGGACCTCCTGAATCAGAAACTCCAGGGCTGGGCCAGGGAGCTTGCGTCTTTCGCTCTCACCAGATGATTTTATCCACTAACGTTTGAGAACCACGTCTGAAGAGGAGTACGTCTCAAGACTCTGTCCTTGGCCCACTTGTCGTCACGCTTTCCACATCCTTCAGTCCTTCAGGCATAACAAACTTCTATCCACAACTCTTTCCTCAAACCAGTTCCTCCTTCTGTTCTTACCACAGAGAATGGCACCACCACTGCCCTACGAACTCGAGTCTGAAACGTGAGCATCAGCCTTGCCTCCTTCTCACCATCTCCCCTTTTATCAGTTAGCAACTGCTGCGTAACAAGTCGCACATACGTCTATACACCCATGCACGCACGCACGCACACAGTGGTTACAACCACAATGGTTTATTATTTCTCATGAGTCCTCTGGTTTTATCTGGGCTTCCTTCAGGGGGAATTGAGTAGAAGATCCTCATTCTCATGTGTGCCTTGATTTCCCTTGAGGTGGCCACGGTCTCTCCACGTGGTTGCTTATCATTCAGTGGTCTAGCCTGAGCACCTTTCCATGGCAGCTGGGCAAGGCTGGGAACTGGCGCAGGGTCTCTTCTTCACATTGTGCTGGTCAAAGCAAGACCCAAGGGCAGCCTGGTTTCCAGGGGCATGAAAACAGAGGCCACATCTAGTTAGGTGGGGTGGTGGGCGTGTATAGAGATGGCAGTCAAAGCTGGCGGCCACTACTGGAAACATTCAGGATGTCTCCCTCCATGTTCAATCAGGCATCAAGTCCTGTGGCCTCACCTGTGTGTGATGTGGTGTAGTTGCCCAAATGGCCCCAATACGTCACCCCACTGTGAGCAGGGCCTCTGTTCTACCCCTAGACTCTGGGCTCAGGTTTGTGACTGACTTTGCTAACGAGCTGTTAGCCGATGTGACCTAACAAAAAACAGGTCCTTGCCTGTTTTCACTTTCTTCGCTTGCCCGTCTGCCCTCCCTATGGGAACACTTTGGGGCTAGCCCGCAGAAGGGAAGACCTACGGGCCTAGCAGAGCCACCTGGGGGGGGGGGTCCCAGCCAAGCCCATCCCAAACCAGGGACCCTGAGACCTGGGAGAGGCCAGTCGATTGGTGCAGAGCCCCCTATCCAGATGCCCAAGTGACCACCAGGTGTGTGAGTGAGTCCAGAAGAACCATCCAGCCAACACACAGACTCAGGACCTACAGAAACACTTACTGTGTTAAGCCCCCAAGTTCGGGGCGGCAACGGACAGCCGATGCTACATATGACATCACTGCCCCGTGACCTTCATCCAGACCCTCGTCCTCCTGGGCCTGCAGAGGCTCGAGGCAGCACAGATCATTTTTGGCCCCGGCTACTTGAACAGGTTCATTGGCAGAGACCTGCTCATTGTTCCTCGGGCAGACAGATGACAGAGGCCCTACCGCCTCACATTGCCACTGTCTGAACACGGGCTCCCAAGGTGGAGCGCGTGAATTGTACGATGCTTCTTAAATGCTTCCATCCAGAAACGACCCCTATATGTGCACGAGAATCGGTCACAGGCTCATACCCAAAAGAGGCCTAGGGAGTGCGGTCGGTCGCGTGTGCCTGGAAGGAAAGGAGACCAGGGAGTGGCCGGCACAGGGCTGTCTCTGCTACACGTCTTACGGTCCTTTCCCCTTACAATTCAGATGGGCCACTCTGCTACTCGGGCACCTTCCGTGGCTCCCTATGGCCCAAGCTAGCACCAATCTTGACGTGGTTTTCAGTGGCCCCCCGTGACTCCTTCTACCCCTCCCACCCCATTTCTTGCTATGTGCCACTGTGCATGCCAAGCTCGATCCAGAACTGAGCAGCATTTCCTTGGCACCCCAGCCATTACTCTGTGACCCTGCCCTTCACCACGACTGTTCTCCCCACTGGCCTTCCTCTGGGACAGGTCACCTCCCGGCATCATCCCATGGAAGCCGCTTCTGGCCCGTGGAATCCACTGCCTTCTCCCTTCCCGAACACAGCATGTTCCAGAAGTCTGAGCCCAGTTTTCCGTTTTAGTAACTCGGAAAGTGTGAACGCTGCAAACTTAACCAGAATCAGCATTTGAAAGTCTATTTACATCTCCTTTACATTTATTTAGTTTGGGGAGTTTGATAGATTTTAAATTTAAAATTTTTATTTCGGTCCCCCTGATTGAAGGTGGCAAGGAGGACTGAAACAAAAGAGCGAGAGCGGGAAATGTTGATTCAAATGTGGAAAACTTAGTCCGTGCCAAAAGATTTAATTAGCTACATTTTTAAATGCTTTCAAAAATAAATTTGTAAAAGTGGAGACAACAGCAGAAAGATCTGTGGTTGCCCAGGGTTGGGGGGGGGGGGAGGGATGAGGAGGTGGAGCGCTGGGGACTTTTAGGGCAGGGAAACTGTGTGTCATGTGTGATGGTGAATACCTGACATTATGCACGTATCAAGTCCCACAGAACCTACAACACTAAGAGTGAACTCTAACTCACACTGTGGACTTCAGTTAGTAACAGCGATTCAATATTATGGTTCACCCATTGTTAACAAATGACCCCACCAAGGCCAGACGTTTTAAAGATTTTTTTTTTTTATTTATTTATTCATGAGAGACAGAGGAGGAGAGAGAGAGAGGGAGGGAGAGAGAGGGAGAAGCAGGCTCCCAAGGAGCAGGGAGCCCAATGCGGGACTCGATCCCAGGACCCTGGGATCATGACCTGAGCCGAAGGCAGACGCTTAACCGTCTGAGCCACCCAGGCGCCCAAGGCCAGACGTTTTAATAATGGGGGCAATTGGGGTGGGAGGGCTAGAGAGGGAATATTCGGGAACTCTGTGAGCTTCCTGATGCATTTTTCCGTATGCCTAAAACTGCTCTAAAAATAAAATCTTTTTTTCCCCCAAAGTTTGTTTATACTTCTGAAGTGATTAGAGCTTAAATATTCATTAAGAGTGCTGGCACACCTGTGTGCATACCTCCCGTAGCTTCGTTTCTCAACGTGGCTGCATGTTATGATCCCCTGGGGGATCTTAGGCCAGGCGCCTGCTACCCCATAGCCAGTTCCCTTAGCATCTTGGGCGGGGGGCTTTGGCATGTAAAGGGGGCTCTGGACTGTTTCCGATGTGGGGTGTGGTTTCTCCAA